ATATATATATATATATATATATATATATATATATATATATATATATATATATATATATATATATATATATATATATATATATATATATATATATATATATATATATATATATATATAAATTAGTAATGTTACATAATATTTTTTTTAAAAAATTGGTAAGAAAATAAAAATTTATAAATTTTAAATTAATAATATTATAAGCCACATAAATATATTATAAAATCAGGTAGTATATAGAATCAAATTATATTTATTTATTGATAAATTTTACTCCCTCCGTTTCTTAATACATGATGTTTTAGATCATTGCACAAAGATTAAGAAATTTGCATTCTTTTTTTTAAGATATAATTTTAAAATCATTCAACCAATTATTACCAATAAAATTTTATTGGTTGAACAGTTACCAATAAAGTTAAAAGTAACCTTAAAATCTTAAAATATACATTAAATTTTCAAAACATCTTACATTTTCAAAAAAAAAAAATCTTTTAAAACATCATCTAATTTGAAACGGAGAAAGTATTATATAATTTTAAATATTTTCGTATAAAAATACACACACTGTTGTGCGGATCAAAATCTAGCTAATGTTTAATCTCTCAGCTTACAAACACTTAACATACGTCACCTCCTTCTATAATATCATCTAGTTAGGATGGAAAACATTTAATGAACTACATTTGAGAGTTTTATCAGTTAAAACTTGTAAAATAATTTATAAAATCATGAAAGTGGATAAATATTATAAGTCATTTATAGTTGTTTATTAGTAAAATCTCTATAAATTAATAATGTTGAGACTTTGAAACTTTATTAATTTATAGAGATATTAATTTATAAAATTTTCTTATTTAGATTTTTTATTTTAAGATATATTATTCTTTTTTCTGGGCAACAAAATATATTTATTCTAAGATAGGAAAAATATTTGATTTTCATGTATTTGAAATTTGATATTTATATTTATTATATTATATTATGTGGTGTATATAATATATATTACATAGAATTTAAATTTGATTTTAGATATATATTATTTAATCTCATAAAAATATATTAAGTATTAAGAAAAATATAAAGATAATTTAATTGTAAATTTAAAACAAACAGTATAATGATAGGTTCTTACTTACATAAAATATGTATACATAGAAATAATTAATTTATAGTTTTAATGGGACCGTATATTACATAGAATTTTCGATAAAAATATTATCTTATTATTTTATCGATTTGTGTCAAATTTTGAACCGGAAAAAATTAGGACCGATAAAATTTATTGTTTATAGAAATTATTAATTATTGAGTATTAATTTATAAAGGTTATACTGTACATTGTTTTTAAACAGTTATAACCATTTAAAATATCCTCTTATAACTGATATACTATAAGGAATTATAAATCATTTATTGTCGTTTATAAATTATTCTTAAACATTTATAATAACCATTTTAAATATCCTCTTATAAATGATATATTATATTTATTACCACTTTAGACCATAATATAAGTTTTTCATAGTCTTTATATATATTTTGAGTCTGTTTTGAGATCTTTTTAGGTTTAGATACATTTTAGAGCATTATAGAGATCATTTAGCCATTTGAAGATTACACAAAACAAAATCCATAACTGTACAAGAAAACATAAGTCAGAGTCGATATTTGGAGAGAGTGTCGATCGACGCTAATACTATTTGTGCTAATACTATTTGACGTGGTCGACTTAAGTTTCCAAAATTGCATTTTTAGCCGAAATATATATATATATATATATATATATATTCAAGAAGACTCCTAGAAGTGATTTTACATATATACACTAGATTCTCTATAAATTAATACTCGATAAATTAATAATCTCTCTAAATTAATAAAATTTACCGGTCTCACCTTGGGCCGTTCAAAATTTGACATAGTTGGATAAAATAATAAGATAATAACTTTTTGGAAAATTCTATGTAAATATATGGTCCTATTAAAATTATAAATTTATAATTTATAAGTATACATATTTTATATAAGTAGAACCTATCTTTATATTGTTTGTTTTATATTCACAATAAAAAGTATCTTTACATTTTCTTAAGACTTAATATATTTTTGATGAAATTTAGTAATATTATATCTAAAACCACATATAAATTATATAAAATATATATTGTATACCCCAAATAATATAATAAAATTAATATAAAATTCAAATTTAAAAAAAAATATTAATTAATGTCTGTACACTAAATCAAATATTTTTCTTAACTTAGAATAAATATATCTTAAAATAAAAAATCTAAATGAAGAATTTTTTTTACATCTCTATAAATTAATAAGATTTCAAAGTTCCAACATTATTAAATTATAGAGGTTTTACTGTATGTTATTTTCAGACAGTGTTTAAGCATTCTTTTATTTAAGCTTTATTTTAGTTTTAGAGAGAATAAAATAAATCCTTCAGAGTGTTCTTGTAAATCATGTTGATTCATTCTAGGATATCTATTGAGACCATGTTTGTGTTTCTGCTTCCATGTCTAAATAGTTTCATTATTAACTTTAAAGAGTTTTTTGGGTAAGGTGAACTTGTGATTTACAGAACTGTTAGGGTAATTATATTGCATCATTATTGCTTATTTCTAAAGTAATTAACTAGACACTTGATCTTATAAGATAGTTGAGAACCATGAGAGTGAAAGCAATACATGAACTGAATCATGTTGAGCTAAGTTGTTAGCCAAAACGAGAGTCTGTGTAGGATTTTGTGAACATATCGAATTGGTACTCAATGCTTGCCTAGAATATTTGGAATCGCAACAAGAGTTGGACATGGATGATCTAGACATCTGGTAGTACTCGCAACGAGAGTTGGATGACTTACTTATGAATTTAAGTTCTAAGATTGATAATAATACCCTTTAGCATATGTTTCTCTGAGTTTTGATTACATGTTTATATCCCAGAGTTTTACGTTTCTTCCAATCATTTATAATTCTATTTACATTATTTGCTGTCTAACTTAATCTGATATGCATAAATTTACTGTGTGAAACATTAATTCTTTTAAGGTAAATTAAGCATTCTCAAAATTGAGATATTGATAAACTAATATATACTTTAATTTTATTAATCCGTATACATTATTTTATCAATTTTAAAATTGATTTATACATTTTATATTATTTCCAAAATATTCACGGACAAAAATCTCCGGGACATTTATTTTTCTATCTATATTTAATATATTGCCATACGGATATTTGATGTTCGGATGTCTAGAAAATTTATAATTTTAACTAACTGATTTGATCCATATAAATAAAATAAAAATTAAATAAAATAATATTTAATCACAAAAATAAAAGTTTGTTAACTATGAAAAACTCTGATAACTAAATAATCAATTTAGTAAATAACCATATCACAAAAGTTACATAAACTATGATAATTATATAATACATATATATATAATTCTGTAAATACATGTATACTAAACTACATTTTTAAAATATTAGTTATTGTATTTTGATTATGTTCTTACAAATATTATGTATCTACTATATTAAAACATAAGTCACAACCTCATTTCATCTGTGATTTTTAAGTTAAATCATTCCTTAGAAAATCCATTTTATCCTATTTACTCAT